GGCCTTGGCCCTGGGCTGAGCCTCCCCGTGGGTCCCCCCGTGGCGAGGGGGGCCTGTGCCCACTGCATGCCTGCGCCGTGGGTCGGATGCTCCTTTCTGAGGGGTCCCCTGGGCGGGAAGGGGGTGTCGCTGGTGTCTCATCCTCGATCTGCTCCCTCCAGCGCTGACACCCCAAACCTCTCAGGTACACCCCTGTAGACCTCATGCTGGCCAGAGAGGCTGTACCCACGCAGACATCCCAGCACGTGTGGGATCTTTACAGCTCTCGCTGATTTATTGCACGTTATGTTCTCCACAAATGACGTTTTCTCACTTAAAACGAGCGGTTGCGAATGAGCTCTGGGTCGTTCTTGTGTCCAGCAGAAAATGTAGATTTGAAAAAGCTCATTTCTTGTTGCCTTATTTCCAGTAACCCCCGGTTCCCTCTGTCAAGGGATGCGAGCTGCCCGCCGTGTCAGATGGCCACCGAATCCACCGGGAAGTTCCAGCACTGGCAATCCAAAGCGACACAAAAATCAGGAGTATAAATACGGGAACGTCTTGCCGCAACACGCTGGGGGTTTCACAACAACCCTCTTCGCCCTGGTGCAGCGGTGGCTCGGTCATCTGCCACACCAGGGAAATTCAACCCCGGCTTTGCCGGCTGCTCCGGCAAATCACAGCCTGGCACAGGAACGGGCAACAGGCTGAAGGAAATTCTCATTTCTGAGCGTTGGAGAAACCCAGTCTTGCCGTCAGGGGCAGCGCCGGGAGCTCAGCGCCTGCTGTGCCTCCCCCGGCTGCTCCTGGGTGTCCCGCTCGGTGCGGCGGGGGCAGAAGGTGGAGGCGTTCGGCAGCAGCGATTCTTCTCCGTCCCCCATCAGGTTTGTCAGCGCAAGGACGACGTTTCTGTGGGGAAGAGGGTGGCGTGTTGCTCCCTGTCCCTTCCGCGACGCCTGTGGGTGCTGCACGGCGCCGGGCTGGGCGCAGGGAGTCGGACCACGAGGGCCCCGCTGCTGCTGCAAGCTGGGGCTGGCTCTAACCCTGCCCTGACCCTCGCTGAGTTATTTCCGAGGGGTTTTGTCCTCCCACAAGCCAATCCACTGGCCGTGCCAGCTGGCTGTCCTGCTCCTGGGCTGCCTCTGCTTGGGGTTGGCTTGTATTTTAAGGGTGGCTGGGTGTGCACGGGCTCTGGGTGGAAGGCAGAAGCTGTGTAGGAGGAGAGGGCTGTCCTAGCGCCGGCCCTTGGACCCACGGGCCCGTCAGAGCCCACACTTCCCCGGGGCAGAGGGTGACTGGGGCAGCGCTCGTGCTTGGAAAATGACTGGCTCCGCGTCCAGGCCTTGAGTCACCGGTTCACGCCGTCGTCGTGGGCTGTTGTTTTCCATTCCCAAAGCACGAGCAGCGACCTGCTGTTTATTTATAACGCGGAGAGCGTCGCGTGTGGGGAGACCAAAGCGCCGAGCTCTGGGACGGGGGTCTCTGCCTCTGCTGGCACGAGGCTCGATTTGAACAAGCCGTTCCCAAAGAATTTGGCTGGTTTGCAGCAGTTTGGTAAATAAACAGCTCTGCTCTCGCGCCGGTGACTCTCTGCCTCGGTAGGTTTAACCGCGCCAGCTTGCTGGCTGTTTTTATTTCTCACTTGTTTTATTTTCTTTGCTTCGCTCAAGCTGTTGTGCTCTGCCTGTGGAGCCTCCGGGGTGGTGGCTGCTGGGAAACGATGTAGGGGGTTTTGATGCTGTGGTGCTTGTCTCTGTGTTTGCACATCCATCCTGTCTCTTATCCTTTTAAGATCACAAGGAGCAGCCGTGGCTTTCCAGGATCTGCCTGGAAGTGCTCCAGAGCCCTCCGGTTCCTTCCAGAGCCGGCTAACCCAGCGCCAGGGCTGCCGGTTCCATTTCCCCATGTTCCACCAAAGGCTTGCGTTAGGTGAAACCCACCTCGGAGCTGGTTCGTTGCACTCGTTATTCAGGAAAATGCTGTCCCAACAGAAGCGATGCGGTGTGGATTCGGGTTGCTGGAACGAACTGGTTGGACTGGTTGTGGTGGGAGTGGAGAGGCCCATAGTGAAAGCAGCGGGTATCCTCCTCGGCGTCTCGCCTCCTTGCAGACGCTGGGAGGGGTGATGCCGGCAAAGGAGCGCGTGTTTTGGGGGAATACCACTCGCTTAGTAAAACCTGGACGAGGTCTTTGCAACAACATCGCTGTCACCCCCTCCCCTGCGCCCGGCCGGGGGTGCCGGGGTGGCTGACGCCGAGGAGCGCGGTCCTGGCGCTGAAACACCCCCGTTACCACGGTGGCATGAGAAATGCCACCTTGTGCCCCCAGCTTGCTTCTCCCCCTCCTTGGGTCTCCCTCCCCCAGCTCTTGTCCTGGGTGGGATGTTTCGCTTGTTTGCGGGGTGTGTGCAGGGGAAAAGGGCAGAGGCTGCCCAGCCCCGAGGAGCCTGAACCTCCCAGAGGTGGGGATGGCTCTCTGTGGTCGTCATCAACCGCTGCTGTCACTTAGGTGTCCCCTTGCTCCCCCCACCCCCCAGCAGCGCCTCGAGCCTCTGACCAGAGGTTGACGTTCCTGCAATCACTGCGCTCCCCCGTTTCTGTGTTGCAACCGAAAGAGGGGAAATCTTGTGACGAGTCACGGCGAAAACAGTTTCCTTTTCTATGAAATTGTCTGTGAACTCTGGAAACACTGGGGATCGGTCCGGGGTTTGTCCCCAAAGAGCTCTTGACCTGCTGCTCTGAGCCGGACTGACTGGTGTGGTGTTTGCACGGGATGCTCTGGGTTTAGGCTGCTCCAGATTTGGGCTGCTCTGGGTTTAGGCTGCTCCAGATTTGGGCTGCTCTGGGTTTGGACCACTGCTGCGTTTGGGACTGGCCGTGGCCGTGTTGGAGCTGATCTACAAACCGTGTTTGTGCCCTGGTTTGGCAGCTCGCTGTGCAGGGAGAGGGGCAGGTTGAGGCCATCAGCTCTGCTTAGGGAAAGCCCTGGGGTTCTTGTGTTGGCTTGGCAATAAAATCTGAACTATCGATGCCCTTCCAAGCCCAAACGGGCATACCCAAACCCTGCGGTCAACTGCTGGGCTCTCTCCTCCATTTGGATGGCAAGTGGTTCCAACTCAAGGGAATAAATTTCTTCTCCAACCTTTCACATCCTTAGAAAGGTTTACGGTGGTAGCTGGTGCCGGAGCGGCTCTCGGACCCTTTTCAGCACGAGGACACGCCACGTTTGAGCAGGGACGCAGCCCTGCGACGGGCGTCTCGCTGACAGCCGCGTGCTTTGCTCGCGGAGCCTCCAGGCACAGCTTGGTTTCGGCAGACGGCTCTGAGGAACAGGGCAGGAGGCCCCAAGTCAGGAGTCAAAGGTCCTTTGTTGTCTGCAAACACCCCGCCATCGCAGATGACACCAGCGAGGCTGCCGCCGCCCGCTCGGCGCTGCTTTTGCCGGGGTTTTCCGTAGCGAGAGGGCGCCGATTTTTCTCTCTCTCCCACCGAGGGAGCAGAGCAGCCCTGCCCTCCGCGCCCCCGGGAGCGGGGAGATCCTGGGGTTTGTCAGCCTCTGGATGGGGCGACTGGAAACGCAGTGGAGAACCTGCATCTTCCCTTCCCACCTCCCCAGGCAGCTCTGTGCCATCGGGGCGAGCGCCGGGCACCTCCGAGGGGGCTCCATCCCAGCTGGGTTTGGCAGCAGCATCGCTCCTCCGGCGAGTACCGGAGAGAGGAGCCGCTGTCACCTCTGCCCGGGGTCTGCTGGGGGGGTGACACCTCTCTGTCAGGGCCACCGCTGAGTGCCGTGTTCGGGCTCGCTCGCTATAAATGCCTCTTTTGATGCCCTTGTGCTGCCTGGGCGTTGCAGGCAATGGAGAAACAGAAGGGAAGCAATCCCTGGCCCTGCGCGCATCGCTGCTGGTTTGACCGGCCCGGCGTCTCGCCCGGGTTTAGGGCTGCCTGCGGGCAGCTTGCAAGGGTTAATTACTCCCTCTTGCAAGGGTTAATTACTCCCTCTTGCAAGGGTTAATTACTCCCTCCTGGTCTCTTGGCCGTATTGTTTTGCCTGAAACTCTCCTGGTGCCCGGGAAGCGTGGCGTGCTTCGCTGCAGTCGTAGGTCGGTCCCAGCTTGGTTCCAGCCGTGGTCTGGCCGTGAGCGCTCGCAGGATGCCTCGGTGCGTGACCCGTGCCTCTTGCGTGACGCCGGGTGCCGTTGGCGTGGCGGGTGAGTGAGGTGTAAACCAGGTGGGTGCTCAGACGTGCTCCTCCTCCTCCTTGTCCCAAAGGTGACATGTGAAGGCAGCGCCCGGCGCGGGGAGCAGCAGCAGCTGAGATGCATTCGAGCCACACCGATGACCCCAAGGAAGCCATACAGGTGAGCCAGACACCCCAGTGCTCCCCAGATAGCTCCAGTTACTGCCCAGTGCAACTCCAGTTACCAGCACGGACGTGGTAGGACTTGTTGGGGCTGCCAGCTGGGATTGGGATGGTTTATACAGGCAAAGGTGGCTCAGGCTCTCCGGCAGAGAGGATCCTTGATCCTGGTGGGGGGCAAATAGAGTGGCCAGGAGTTAAATCACAGCAGATTCCACCTCGGGCTTTACCCCTTGTGGCAAGACCCAGCGTGGGGCAGGGGAGGGTGCTCAGCCCTGGGTGAAGGAGCGTTGCTGCTCTGTATGTTTGGGGTGTCGTTACCCAGCTTTGGGAGCCCAACCACGTTTAATGAGCAAAGCTCAAACCCAGCGGTTCAACCCGGGTGTTTAATTCATCCCACAGCAGAATTAATTCATGTATGACAGATAAAATCGTTTGCACTCTTTAATCCTGTTAGCCCACGGTTGCTGCTTGCGGGCGGGTTCCTTGTGCTCGCAGATCTGTGGGGCAGCTGGAAAACAGCCCCCGCTGCAAAGGGCGTCCCCGATACAGGCAGGGAGAAGGCGCACGTTCCCCTGGCTGTTGTCCTTGACCTACAGCTGCTGGAAATCTTATTTAGATGCTGAAAAAAAATACCCTGGGCTGGAAATTTAATATGGGTCTATGCAGCCAACCCAGGCTCGAGTCAAAATCTGCTCTGCCCCAGTCGCAGCGGCTGGTGCCGTTCAGCGCTCGCCTTGAACGCGGCGTGATTGATGCCGAAACGCGAATTGTCTGATGGGGTCTCGGCTGAATTTGCAGCGTTTGCCAAACGCCTGCTGGGAAGTGCTACTTTCATTTTAAATAAGGGTGACTGAGACATCTGGGCTCAGCTGCGTTAGAAAAAACATCCTCTTCCACCAGCAGCAAATTGTTAAATTCACTGAAGTTTCTTGGTTTCGCCTGGTGTCAGAAAGAGGGAAGCAAAGCTGCTGGAAGGTAAAATTCCCATGTTCTCACTTCAAAGCCCACTGAGTCCCTCCAAAGGCAGCAGCTAAACCCCAGCTCTCCTTCCAAAAGCATCTTTTAGGGGGGGCGGGTCTGTCCCCAGCAGCACCCGTGGGTTAATCAACACAAACGAGCTGCTGAGGGCGCCGACGAGATCGATGGCTTTGATTTCTGCTGGCGGGACTCGTTAGATCGTCACAGGCTGCTCGGGCTCATCTGCCTGAGCTCAAGTGGTACCGCAGCCCTTGTTGCAGGTTACCTCTGCTGAGTTCTCGTTTCTCACCCACGCTCATTTCATCCTTGTGTTTCCCCTGGGCAAGCGCCTGGGAAGAGGTGATTTCTTTTCCCTCCCCATCCTCTTCAGCAATTTGGTATCTGCAGAGGAAGCGCCACACTGAAAAGGCAACCCCAGCAGCCCAGTGGGCTCCGAACCACCGGCTAACATTGCGTAAAT